TTCCATCCAGACGTCGTTTCTTCACTCCATGGGAGTAACAGGATGGAGTGCACCTACTCCACCTTAGCTGCCTCTCAAAGCTATCTGCTTGGCTTTTCGGGAAGAACCGCTGCGATACTCAGAAGCAGCCTCTGACACCAATTGTGTTTTGTCGTTCAGACTTCTATCACAGGGCCCTGCCCGCCGCCTTTCCTGGCAGCGTGCAGCTGTGAGTACGACCCCTGTTCCCTTTGCAGGGACACAGCTGACAGTGGAGGTCCACTCTCGAGACGCTACACCCCAGCTGCTAAAGAAGTTCACCTTGGCCAACCGTATGTACCCACAGGGGCCCTGGGGTGCAGAGGGTGGGGAGGACCAAAGGTCTCTGGCTGCAGGGAGAAATGGAGTGCCTGAGCCCTTGGCCTGCATGCTCTGAAGAGGTTGGATCATGGCAGCTTCACCCTGGAGAGCCCCCTTTCTCCACACCCAGCCAACACTGCTCTCCGGGTCTGGAACCCGACATGAGGAGCACGTGGCCCTTAATGAAAAGGGCATGCTGTGACAGAACGTCGTGTTGACATAGCGTTTTATGGACCGCCTCACACGTGACGTGCACGGCGCTAAGGGCTTTACTCACGTTCATTCATGTTTTACCCTTTGGCATATACTTGTATCATCCCATTTTGTTTTCGATCCACCAAATGATCCTCAGAAAGGTATAGTAAATGTCTTAGTCACCCATTTAGGAAGCAGGTGAGGGCCCTGGGCTGACGCTGAAGCCTGTGCCCTGACCCACAGTGCTCTGCCACCTTCCACGCAATGCGCACAGACGCATGTTCAGGGCCGTGAGATCGCCTCTGCGCCCTGCTAGTCTTCTTGTGCAGCTCTCGCCTCACAGTTGAACAGACGCCTTGAGGGAAAGGCAGACAAAACAATGGTGGCTGCAGTGTGGCCACGGTTCAAGTCCTCCTGGGGGAAGCTCGGTGTGCCCGGGCAAGCTCTCCAAGCAGCCCTTGACGGTCAGGGCCTTGGGCGGGCAGTCTAGGATGTGGCTGGACGGACAGGTCTGGCCTTTCACCTTGGACAGTTGACGTAATCGAGTTTCGGAACCCCGCTTGCCCATCTCTAAAGGAGGACAGTGAGTGTGCCTTGTTGTGCGGTTAATGCGGCAGTGCGGGTAAAGCACAGGCCGGGTGGAGGAAGCTTGCGACAAATGCTCATTACTACCTCACCTGGCAGTCGCTCCCTCGTGAAGAACGCCCGTGCTGCCATGCAAGAGACAGGAGGATTGGTCCGTCGCTCGGAGTGGCCCTACACATTTGCCATTTCTTTATTACGTTTGCGTCAAGCCATCCAGGGAAATGGCTCCTGTGTCTTTCCTTTGATGGATGATCAGGCGTTTGTATCTTAGTTGAAACCTCCACCCTGCTAGAGACATTCTTTCCCTCTCCTCCATGAGTCTATTAACTGTTGGCTCCATTATGCCTTGAACAGTACTTAATTTAGAGGACATACTGGGCCATTACCCAACCCAAGGAATCACGCAGTAACTACTTGGTGGATGGAATGGGAGCAAGAAGGCTGTGAAGAGAAGAAAGTGGACCACCACACAAAATGGTCTATGCTTGCATTTCTGTTTCTTCTACACTGTTTCTACTCCTGACCTTTGCCATGTTGTAGGTTTACAAGGTGATAAAAATGGAAACACAAGACCTCGGCAGCCTGGAGGGAAAGATGCCCATGGTAAGTTGTAGGCTCCACTCCAGGGGCGTTCTGAAGGAAAGTATGGCTGGTATAGCTCCAATCAACTGGTAATGGCTTCCTGAGACACTGTGCTGAGAGTCTGGGACTGCCTGCGGGATCTGTGGGGGGAGGTGGAGGAGAGTATTGTGATTGATTAGCAATGTCTGCTTCAGGCGCAGGTGGAGAAGAAATAAGCTCACACACCAGATGTCATCCCAAAGCTAACGCATAAACCTTACCAATAACAAGACAGCCCATTATAGGGAACATTAAAAAAACAGGATTCAAAATTATGTTAACTTTAAATGGAGTGCCAAATGACTGTAACGAAGGAGGCATTTGAAGAGACAGAGGCTTGTGTAAAAGAAGACAGGGACAGAGGAAGAAGCCCTGCATGTGGGTGATAGACTGCCTGGTTTCAAATCCTGATTCTGGACCCTCTCTGGGCCTCAGTTTCCCCCTCAACAGACCAGATGGCATCTATGGTTCAGTACAGCTTGGACACACCCCCCCACTGTTTTGTTTTAAAATTAGAACAATTTTGTTAATGCTGCTGGCATTTGAAATGTATTTATACAAAATCCTATTTGGATCTTATATAATCTTCTCAGAGAGTAGATTTAATGAGGCATAAATCATCACAGATATTTTGAATGTTCAGATATTATAAAGTGGAACCAAGAGTCAAACTAGTAGTTGTTTTTTTTTTTAATCCCATTTTAGAAATGCAGTGCTCCTTCTGAATGGCGGGGGAGGGAGGGGGACCTCATTTGCAGAGCTGTAATGAGGGAAAGCCTGTTAACGGTGTTAGCTCACTTCACATCCACTTAGGTCACCCTGCTGGCCCTGTCAGGAGCCCATGTCTGCAGAGAGAGCGGGCCTGGAAAGGGAAGTTCAGCAAGGCCCCTCCAGGCTCTCCCCACCCCCTTTCCCAGCCACCCTCCAGGACCACATGAGATAGGGATGGGTGGCCAACCAAGAAATCAGCTCAGGAGCCAGAGGACAGGGTGCGAGCCAGGACCCAGCTGCCTTCAAGGTAGCTCCAATGTAAGACTGTGCCCATAAAACAAAAATGGGACGGAGGACCGGGTGGACTTGCGGAAGGAGCTGGGTAAAACACCAACAAAGACAGAGGATGCCAGGGTGCCAGGTGAGAGCATGCCCTTCGAGGTAGGGTTTGCACACTCTGTGGACACCACCCCACCCCACCCTCGAGAGCCTTGCCCCAACTCTAGAGAGGAGCAGCCCCTGGTCTGAGATGTGTCAGAGTAAGGACACAATCAGAACCCACTGAGGCCTCAGGACAAAGAGGCCAAACACCAGGAACCGTATGGGAGCAAGTGGGCAGCGTGAGGTGACTCTGGAGAGTGTGTCAAAGCCAGTTCTGGGACTGAGGGGGACAGAGGTCTTGATTTCCCCAGTGGTAGTGGGGAAAGCCAAGGGGCCCATGCTGGCCGCCTTCCTCAGTGGCTGTCATTAACCTCACAACCAGTGTGGGTCCTGAATAGGGTCCTGGAACAGCTCAGGCCAGAGCTGGAAGAGACACACAGTCCCACCATCTTCCCATATCTCTCCAGGCTTCCATATGGAGGCATGGGCCTTCACAGATCAGGGCAGCCCTGGGGATTCACAGGAAGGATACAGCTGCAGCCCCCACCCACTGGCACAGGGCCACACACTGCTGTTCCTGCGCTTACCTGCAAAGGGATCCCCATAACCTGTAGCCTCCCAGAAAGTGCTCACGGTCCAGCATCCCATTCACTGTCCCAGGGCTCTCACACATGCATGGCTGAGGCAGTGTGGCTGGTCCAAGACCACCAGCAAGGTGAAGGTCAAGACCAGACTAGAAGCATGCCCCGTGCAGCCCAGCCCAAGTGCTTCTTTATACCACTCCACTCTTCCCGGGATTCCTGCTACATCCTGGGCCCCACAAGCACATCTCACTCACCCAAGGCTGAGAGGTGAGAGGGTCTGACTGAGCCTGGGGATCCGGTCCCTTTAGGTCCTCATCTCTGCCCATCCATCCTGCCCTCTTACCCAGCTTTCCTGATTTGGACCGGCTGGCTCAGGGGGTGTGTTAGGCAGGGTTCTCTATAGAGACAAAACATATTATATATATATATATGATTTATATATATATGATTTATATATATATGATTTATATATATATGTATGTATGTATATACACACACACACACCCAACAAGAAGGAATGTAGCAGCTAATTAGTCCATACAGTAGTACAGAGGGTTCAGTTCAACTCATTTCTGTGGAACAGTTAATATACCGGAAGTCCTTCAACTCCCCTGGGCTGCCGGGTCCAAGGTCAAGGAAGCAGATAGCAAAGTCCTCCCTCAGGCAAGGCAGGCAGAGTCTGTCCACAGGCAGCAAACAACAGGGTGGGTCACCAACAGTCAGTAGCTTGGGAGCTTAGCGAAGGAGGCCTGGATGGGATATCGAATGCAAGCAATGCAAGGCAATGGAATCTACCAGCCTCAAGCTCAACTGATGTATGCACCAGCTTGGCAAAACAGGTCTCAAAGGAGTCTCAAGCCCTAGCAATATGATCCATGGGTTGGCCTGGCCCGCAGGTAGTGTAGCTCACAGGTTGAGGCAAAGAAATAGCTAAAGCAGC